CAAAAACTTGCACTGGAACTGGAGTGAATTTTGTAGAAGGACCAATCCAATCCTAATTTAAAGATGCCAAGTGATGGAGAATCCACCCCACTGGATGGATACATTCATAGAAGCATAAGTCCATTAATTGCTAGAGGCTAAGAGGATCTGGGTTGCAACGTCCATGCTCTAAGTGTCCCTAACCTCTGACTACAAGAAGCTGGGCATGGATGATGGGATGGATAACTCAATAATCACCATGTTCTGTTCTTTGAAGAATCTAGCATTGGCCACTGTTGAAAGACAGGATACTGGGTGAGATATAATATTGGTCTGACCAAATTGGCCATTCCTTTGGTTTGTTCATTACAGATCTGTGTGCTGTATGTTCTGAAAGTTCCATGGCATACTGTGAATGTTAACCAAGGCACAGTTTCCATAGGACTCATAAAATAATTTGTAAAAGAGCCATAACAAGCCAACATGGAAAATTGATCATAGGTACTACAGGTAGTGACACCGTACGATGAAAGTTGCCTGACATGTTTGAAATTATAACATCTTGTTTTCAGTTGTTTATAAATTTATCAAACTTAAATAATTTGGGTCAAAATTATCCATTCTGGAGTAGTCATGGTCAATTTAGTAACCTCGGTCTTCTTTTCTAACTTTTTAAAAGCAATGAATCTGCTGTTTACAAAAATTACAGTCATTTCATTGAGAAGCTGTAGCATCTCCATGCTTTGGGGCAGGGATTTAAATGGATTTGCTTTTCCCATCCTAGTTAAAATTCACCCTGATTTGGCCAAACCTCAGGAAAAAATCTCAGTCTACATGTGCTCTGCAGAGTCTGATACCTCCAAAGATTCCGTCCTCACTAAGCATGCTCCAGGCCAGGACTACAGGGGCTGAAAGAGCTTTCCCAATAGTTCCTCCTCTCAGGTTCTGGGGGGCAGAGGTGCCAGACATGAGAGCCAAGAGCAAGGAAATGGTCTCTGTTGTACTCTCAGTGCTCCCCCTGCTGGAACATAGGCAACATGTAGGAAAGGAGGAACCACCTGACTGAAATGCAAATGGTGGTAGTGGGGCGGGGTGTCAGGAACCTTGGAGGGTTTAGCAGAAGGAGCCAGGAATGAGAGGTAGGGCAGGAGCTGTGTGTACATGGGAAGATGGAGGGGGAGGGGGGAAGTAAGAGGAGGAGTGGAATCATGGGTGGGAATCTGAGACCAAGACGACTGTTTTGGGAAGAGAGGACAGAGCAAAGGCAGGGCTGGGGGAGCAGAAGCCCTGTTTACAGTAGAATTTGAACAGGGATGTAAAAACAATGATCAGTCCTACGATATTTAGAGGCTAACAGATGTATTGGGTCATGAGCTTTCAGATGAGTTAGATGAGTTGGAGTGGAATATGACTAAGTGGGTTTCACCCGCAAAAGCTCATGACCTAATAAATGTATTAGTCTCTAAGATGCCAAAGGACTGCTCGTTTTTTACAGTTACAGACTAAGATGGCTCCCCCTCTGAGACTTTTTAGGGATGTAAACGTTTAAGCGGTTATTTGGTAAGCATTAGACTTACCAGAATGCTTACTGGATAACCGGTTAACTGGACTTTTCCCAAACCCCGGTGGATGGCCAACTGCACCAGGCCAGAGCAGCTTTATCGGGCCTGCCGGAGCAGGCAGGGCCTTGTGGTAGGCAGGCGGGATGCTGGCCTCAGCTGTGCCGGGGCAGCCCTGGTGGACAAGTGGGGCCCTAGCCCTTCCACAGTGGGCAGGTTGGCATGGAGCAGCTCCTGCCACATTTGCCCCACAGACTCAGTGGGAATGAAGCCCCAATCGGACACCCCTACGCTGGCTCGGACACCCCTATGCTGGCCCACCAATGGTTAACTGGTTAAATGATAACTGGTTAAATGATTTTAATTGTGTAACCAGTTAATTGTTTTGACTAATATTTACATCCCTAATTTAGGGTTGCCAGGTGTCCGGTTTTCACCTGGACTGTCTGTTATTCAGGTCCCCCAGCCGGTAAAAAAACCAGAAAATACTGGACATGTGAAATGTCCAGTATTTCCTGTTTCCCTTGGATGGAAGCCTGGCGGGGACAATTTTCTCCTGTTGTGTGTGGGTGGGGGTGGGGGGGAGTGAGGAGCGTGGGGCCGTTTAAAGTGCCCCACCTTTTTTTTCTCAACAACTTTGGTCTCACTGTTTTTGGGGAGGGGGAGATGTTCGGTATTTTTTGTTAAACCATCTGGCAACCCTATCCCTAATTTGAACTATTTTGGAAAATGGAGTTGAATCTGTTTAAAACATCCTTTCAGATAAACGAGTTTCCAACATGTGTCTGGCCACTGTACACAAGATTGTTTAGTTTTAAAACTATTTTAAAGAAACTCTGTCAGAGCTCAGGTAGGGCTTTGGTTTGCACAATGCCAGTTCAAGAAGGTTCTAAGTCTAGTAATTGATGGAACAGTCCTAATCAAACAAAAACCATGCACAGCTTCTGCCAATACTAGAAAAGATCCTACAGTATGAAAATCTAGAGCAACTCCTTTTTGAAGTAATTGGAACTGCACAATTTGAAGAATCGTGTCAGATTTTCATAAAGCAGAGATGTGTGAAATTCATAAGTTTAGTTTTGTAGAATAAACAAACATAGCTTCTTTTTGCACAGTTGTAAAAATTGTACTAAACATGCATGTTTTTGCAATATTTCTGGTTCAGTGGCTGATTTAACATTGAAAATATTGTCTTGTGGCTTTGACAAAATTATATTGGCATCAAAACTGGTCTGTTTTCAAGAATATATCCCTTTGGCCCTTTTTTCTTTGAAACATTTGCATATGTATTTGAAATTCTTCACAGAAATGGTCAATTTTTTATTTTTTTAACCAATTACAAAATACTTGCATTTTAGCTGTATAAAACTTCTCTCCAGTATATTAGTTTAATTACACTGTTAGGGTCTCTTGTTCCATAGATAGAGCGTTGAAGTGGTAGTGCTAGAAGTCATTTTGGGATCAGATGATTATCATGTATTTGAGTGTTTTTACTTAATCAATTTTGTTTCTAATCTCCAGCCACAATGAAAGAAATTCAACTTTTACTTTTTGCTTTTCTCAATCCTGTTTTCTTTAATCAGTTGGTAGTTAATTTTTCACTTGCAATAAGTGGCTGATGCTACAGAGCATTGTAAAAAAAAGCTTGATATTTACAGTCATTGGCATGAATATGTGTTGTTGTTTTGTTTTAGGACTTAAGAGAAGGGTAGCTCTGACTGCTAGGTAACCTGTTTCTTCTGTTCCATTTCATTTGCTACTTCACTTCACAGACAGTGATAAAATCATCTTGTCTCACAAACCACATTTGTGACTAGACGACTAGAGAGAGATTTTTAAAAACTCTAACAAAAATATTTAAACAATCACAATATTATTTTGGTTTTTATTTTAAATTTGTTTTTAAAAATCAGGTAGTTCTGGTGATGGCCAAAAAACTGGAAAAAAGTGATAAATTGAATATTGACAAAAATCCATGAAAATAAAAATTTGAAAGCTTCTTATTAGCTCTGGACGCAATCCATGTCTTCAGATGCATCTGCAGCCTCTTGTGGCAAACTCCAATTTTTTAGCAAAGGGAAGAGAATTCAGTTCCTCTGAGATAGAAAGACTGGATTGGCAAGTGATAAAGAACATTGATATCTCTGTAACCTGCAAAAAAGAGCTCTCTTCTTGGCACATAAGAAGTTGATAGTTCACCTCTTCTCTTTCTTTAAAATGGTGGTTTCAAACTTTTTTCTTCACAGACCACTTGAATATTGCTGAGGTTCTTGAGGGACCACATAATGAACTTTTCAAATGTTGTTTGTACCGTTCGCTAATTATTGTAAAGGGCTTTTGATAAAAGCACTATATTATTGTTCTCATAAGTAATTGTTTTTGTTCTACAAATAACAGCACACAACTCATATTTTAGTATCAGTAGAGGTCTCTTCCCCCACCACAGAGCTGAGGCTGGGAAGGAGGCCGTCTCTCCCTGGCAGCTGCAGCCCTGGAACTCCAGAAAGTTGCCTCTTTCTCCAGCCACCGCAACCCGGCACATTCCAATCCTCCCACCCTTCTCAACCCATTCCCCCTCCTACCAGCTTCCTACTCACCCCAAGGCCACTGCCTCACCTTCAATGTGAGGGTCCAGAGTCAGGAACCTAATTAGTGGAGCTGTACCTGAGAGCCACTAATTAAGAGGACAGCCCTTCATTCTCTTGAGTGTGGTTGTCCAGGTGTGCACCTTAGAGAGAATTATCCAGAAACCACCTGAATGGAGCTTGCAAACTACAGTTTGAGAGTCTCTTCTTTAAAAGATCAAGATGCATCAGGCGTTGAGGCTGATGGCCCTCATTGAAGAGCAAGGAGATATGCAACGTATCTCATTGAAGGAGTCAGGATTTTGGTTGGATGACTTTCACACAGACAGTAGTCCATTGTTTGAAAACCTGGCTTCTCTACAGCATATCTAGGAAGCTGTAATATGGAATCATAAAATCACAAGCTCTGAAGGATCTCTAGAAAGCCTCCAAGTCCCCATCTCCTTTTATGATAGCTTTGACTTTCTAACACCAATGACACAGGGACAACTTATGTGACTTGGACACTTGCCATGAGATATTGTGCAGTTTCTGCTGGGGTCTTAAAGCAAGCTGTGTTCATGATGTTCCAGAAAATGCGTAGCTTACTACATCCCTTTTATCACCCTTTTATCTTCTGATGACTGGGCCATTAATTTGTGCCCACCAATTGTAACACAGGAACCTGTGCCATGAGGCTAGCCACCATAAGCTCCTTTTGGAATATGCTGAAATTTGTTTGATTTGGGAAAGAAGACAGAGGTCAGGGAAATGTACCCTAAAGAGTCATGGATTCTAATAAAGTACTGCCTTCCCTCTGCTGCTTCAGTGCCAGGGATGAGGTAAAGCATGATGAGAACACGATTACATTAGTGTCAAATATTTCCTTTCTCCACAGCTGCAGCCAAAGCAGAACCCAAGAGTACAGAAAGGCCAACAGAGCCCCTTCCTCAGAAATAACAGCACAACATTTACATCTGTTGTTACTCTGGAGAGAGCAGAGGTAGTATTTCATATATGGAGAATTTGCATTACATGTGTCTTTCCATCCAAGGACACAGAGGAATATGACAGCATGAGATTAGAGTTATGGGTGGGTACTTAGGAAACCCAGTAAATGTGAAAGCATGAAGTTTCTAGCCCCAGGTACCCACAGAACTCAGACTTCTGTTTATAAAGACTGGGTGGATATGAGAGAGAGAGAGAGAGAGAGAGAGTGTGTGTGTGTGTGTGTTTATACAACAGGCCCTCCAAAGGGGAGGGTACAAGGGACAGTTGCCCAGGGCCCTGCAATTCAAGGGCCTAAGATTCCCAGCCGAGCACGGCGCAGAGCGGTGAGTGACCCTAAGGGTTATGGGGGTGCTCTGTGGTCCATGTAATCCTGGTTCTGCCCTTCTGTCTAAGGGTCTGCCCCTTCTGGGAGTGTGGACTGGCCCACTTCCACCTTGCCCCGAGTCCCACAGAGATTGTCAGCTCCCCTATTATACATATATCCAAGTTATGAATTTATCGTGCAGCTCTGACTTCATCTGCTTTCCTCCCACTGGTCCATCTCCCATGGGACTCTTTTCCAAATGCCTAAGCAACTTCAAACATCTGCTATTAGAAATATTTCCTTCTATGGCCCCAAAATGAGACCATCACTCCCAAATTTAACCCACCTGAGAAAAGGTTTTAGTTCTGTACCTGTTATCCAAAATGTGTTTTCTATTTTTAAGGGTGTCATGATTTTCAAGTCTGATATGCCATGACCGTGTAGGGCTAGAAATGGGTAGCTTTGTCCCGTGGCTTTACAGGTAGAAAGATAAATTCTCATACATTTTGAAAGTAGTTTCTCCCTAACATGTGGGAGATACAGAATACATCTTGTTTTAGGGTGACATTAAGGTTTTATTGGTCCTCATCTGTGAATAACTCGTGGTTATTGCCCCCCATAAATATAGTGAGGCCAACCCAAATTTAAAAATTAAACTTTTATTGCCACACCACAATATTGCATATTCTCTACAAGTCATATATACTTGTGAAGTCTGTGATGTGGTATAAAGGTAATGTTGACATGAATTTGGAATGGTCATATTTCTTCATCAGAGGTCAAGCCATGGCTGAATTGTGCATGTCATTGAAAACAAGTGTAAATAATACCTTTGTACCACACCACACAGTTGCATATTCTGTATATGGAAGGCCATACATTTTCTGCAGCAAGCTTGATATAGATCTTGTAGCTGTGGCCAAGCCTTCAGAACTCAAGTGCATAAGGGTGCAAATTCTGCAGGAACTGGACCCTGGTCTACACTAGGGAGTTATTTTGAAATAACAAGTGGCGCATCCACACACGCCCGTTATTTCTAAATAAGGGGCTGGTTATTTTGAAATAATAACTCCTGCTTTCCATGAGGAATAATGCTTATTTCACAATAGTTATTTTGAGATAGCATTAGTGTGGATGCTCCACTGCTGCTATTTCGAAATAACTACTCCCCAGAGTCATTCTGAATAATTACTCCCTGGTGCTTCCTGGGGCTCTAAGTTGAGGTAGCGCATCCACATTAAGGGAGCCTGCCTCGGACTAATTTCAAGGCTTCCCTGTAGTGTGGATACTCTATTTCAAAATGGTAATTTTGGGCATTATTATTGGTTATTTTGGGCATTATTATTGGTTATTTTGAGCATTATTATTTCAAAATCATTTCCTAGTACAGACATGCCCTGGGTGATCTGCCTTGTTTGCCAGGCCTTCTTAAAAGGGATATGTTACACATACCCCAGCTCAAAGCTAGCTTAACGTCAGCCATAAAACTGTAGCTTTTGGGAATGTGTCCCTGTCACAGTTATTTTTTGGCTTTGGTGAATTAGGATGAATGGTGAATTAGGATAAATGTTCCATGCTGAGGAAGGGAGAAGCCTCAATCACCCAACAGCTCTCATGGACTTTGGCCAAATAACATTTTGCAACTTTGCCAATTTCTTTACTGGACAGCTGGACTGAGTGCATGAGCCATGACCACAATCTAAAGTCCCGGGTTGCCAGGGCCATGTGTTTTGGGGCTACACTGTACCATTGTTTGTTTCTTATACACTGAGTGAAATTTGCTTTTGTCCTGAGTGATTTTTATTTCAGATTAAGGAAAACTGACTAAACAAGGAAAGAACAAACGTAAGTCTTTGGGATGACCAGGATGGTAAGACCACAGTGAATCACAAGAAGTTCTTGCCTATATACCATGCATAAGCACAATATATAGATGCATTATTATCTGCCTCATGGGGGTGGAGCTGTGGGAGTTTTGTAACATTTGAATAGTGCTTTGAAGGTATACAATGCAGTTAAAAGGGCTCAGTAGTGTTGTTTTATACAGAAATGGATCCCAATGAAAACAGTGAACCCAAACCTCAGATCCAGATCCAACTGAATTCAAAATCTCTAGCCTATCTAGTCCCCATTGCTCCACTAACTTACATTTTGGAAAGTATGAAACATGAGCCTTGAACTTCCAAATATGAGAGTGTTTGTATGTACTACATACATATACATACAATGTACATATACAATATAATGTACATATGTCTCTATTTACATACAGTATGTCTACACTTGCACCCTCTTTTGACAGATCGATGCAAATGAAGACATTCAAAATTGCAAAGCCAGGATTTAAATATCCCATGCTTCATTTGCATATTTCCGTTATGGCGCTATTTTGAACACCCTGCTCTCGAAATAACTGGTAAGTCTCAGTGTATGAGGAATAAGGGTTATTTCAAGAGAAGGGTTTTCTCTCAAAATAACAGTTTCTTAACAGCATCTGTTATTTCGAAACAGCGCCATAACACAGTGGGTATCTGCGTCCATATCTGTGGATATAAAGCAGAAATCTGCAAATGTGCAGGGTTCTATTTAAAAAATGTGTATCTATATCTGCATCGATACGTGCAAAAATGAGCTGCAAATAGCTACATCCATATCCGCGGATGTGGATACTAGCATATTTCCAAATATTTACAAGGCTCTATCTGTAACTCAAAGCTGTAATTTCTTTGTTCAGCTCTATATTTTTCTGAAGATGGTGGGATTATCAGAATGCCCTAAGTGTTGGCTTTGAAATACCAGAATCCCTGGATCCACAAGCAGAACTAGTTAATTTTTTTCAGAAGGAAACTTTTTTTCAGAAAAAATTGCAGATTTGATGATACTGAAACATTTTGCAGATTTGTGTTGATTTTCCCAAATTATTAATTTTGGGGGGAAAAATAAAAAATGGTTTGCCATATTCTAAATGAAATGATTCAATTTGAAATTACTTTAAAATTTGAATTATTCTCCAGTTTTACTGGAAAAAAAATGTTTAAATTACTTGAAATGGTGAAACTATTAATTTTGGATTTAATAAAAATATTTATTTTATTTTCTCCTAAGTGATATTCACACAGCTCTGTCCACAAGTTGGAAATACCAACAGGTCAACTGAAGCTGTCAAGATAGATCCCTTGTATTTGGATGAAACTTTCTATGTGCTTGGGGTTTTGTTTGTTTTTTTGTTTTGCCATGACAGTTTATGTCCTCTGAGGTTCATTTGGACATTAAAGCTGCCAGGACATCTGGGAGCTTTAACATAAAAGTGTAAAAGTCATAAAAGTACTGGCTAGAATTTCCTCTCTTTTGATGATACACTGTGCATGTTGGTTGTCTGTCTAGCCCATACCCTTCACTCCAGATGTGTCTGCATTTTATTAATCTTGTATGTGTATGTGTAAGATTCACAGAGTTACGAGTTTTTCTTGGGAAGCACTAGCAAATACATGAATTTTTGTGTAACAGTGACATTACTCCTACTAAATATTTTGTACCAGTGTAAAATGGATGTAATAATACACATCTTTATTTAGCTGGTTTTGGGCTTATTTATAAGTTTTTGGATAGCTCTTTGAGAATCTCAGATGAAGGATATTTAAGTCTGTTGGTGAGAGTAAGGATGTTAAAATGTAGATAATCAGCTAATCGAGTAGTTGATGGAATTTCCATTGACTACTCAATTAGTTGATAAGTGGGGGGAGCACTCGTTACCTTTGTGGATCTGCAGTTTAAATGTAATTTAAACTGCAGAGGTGCAGTGGGGTTAGCTCTGTGGGGCAGTGCAAGCGGGGACTAAGCAGTCCCTGCTCGAGCTGCCCCAGGATCTAACCTCGCTGTGCCTCTGCTTTTTAAATGTAGTAAGAGCTGATTCCTGGCTCACAACCACTCCCCTGCTGTGCCTCTACCTCCCCTGCACACACACTCCCCCCCCCCCCATGGAGATGGTTCTGTGGGGAACTAGCTTTTAAGCCAGCTCCCCCTTGTACCAGCTCCTACTCCCCCACTTGCTGCCTCTAATAAAGGCAGCAAGGGTGGGGGAAGTGACTAGTCGAGTATTAACTCGACTGCCTGATAAGCCTAGGCTTATTGGGTAGTTGACTACTTGACTAATGGCTTATATCCCTAGGTGAGAGCAGGGAAGTGGAGGTCTATTCCTGACCTAAATTCTAATCCCAAATTTGTTCCTAACTATTCCACCTGGAACAAATGCTGTCTGTGCCTTAGTTTCTCCATCTGTAATGAGTATTATCAAACTTATTCATATCTTGCATAATATCACTCTTCTTATCATGCCTGGCCACATAACATCTAGTTGTGTGTGGGCACATGGAGAGAGACAGACACACTTAGTCTTAACCGACAAAGAGTAGGTTTTAATGCAGTAACAATATGCAATTTCTGAAAGTATCTATCTTTGTTAAGGAAGGCCGTGACTTGCATTATAATGTACCTTTCAGTAAAGAGGTTATTTTTCTGCACAGCTTTGGAATTTTCTAACAGTTGTCCGAGAGAGCTCCCTTATGCTTCATTTCCCCTCCTGTTTAAGTCAGCATAGCTGAAACCACATTGCTAGAATCTGCAGAAACCTCCGTGCTGCTCTGTGTGCCCTGGTTTTGTCTTGCATTCTGAGAAGTATTTCTGCAAGGCATGTTTCGTGGCTGGTGTGGGATTTTGTAAGATCCTTTTCCAGGTTTGTTTAGTAACAGAATGGGATGGATAAAATCCAGTAAAACAGTGGAGAATATTTTCAACAGTGAAAAATGATTGGATCTGTGCAGGGAAGAGAAAGGCAGCAGTGTGATTACAGGAGGGATAAGAGGTGGCAAGTGGGGCTGGAGGTTTAATGAAGGAGAAAGAGGAGAAGGTAGGGGTTTTTGAGGGGGGACAAGGAGCTGGTAGTGTATTAGAGGGTGATGTGGAGGACTCTGGGTGGATCCTGAAACACTGGGGATGGAGTTGGCTTTTTACAGGGATCTAGAGTAATACTGGAGAGTTTCTAGCAGACTAGGGGCCAATTGACAGTGGCGTCAGAACAATTTCAGAGTGGTGGTGTATAAAGTATATAAAGGAAACCATGTCAGGCACTTCCCACCACACCCTTACTTCCAGAACCTATGCCTATTGGTAGTTTCTGAGAATGGAAGTGGGTTGGAGGGGGAAAGAGGAGCAAGTGGGGAAGGCGAGGCCTGGGGGGGAAGGGAAGAGAAAGGTAGGTTCTGGAACTTCTGCTGGAGTGTCCAATTTTTAAATACTACAGAGTTGTCAACCCAATCAGGAGGCAGCTGAAACTCACATGGTCTCTCAGAGCCATCTGAGTTTTGAAGGGGGAGGGGTGCCTGCCAGCACCCAGCTCCCAAAACTAGTACAGATTTGTCGGAGTGCAAAAGTGGCTAAAATCCACCCGAGCTCCCTGTCCCCCAGGTCACGAGCTCTGTGCTGCACTAGAATCTTGTTCACAGGGTCCATTGGGAGGGTTATGGGCAGTGTTCCAAGATTTTCCATCCATGAGCAGAGTGAGTTTTGTCTTGTGCCCCGATATTGAGGTCATGTACGCTTGTTCAGTTGTGTGCACGGTGGCACCCACCAGTGTCCCTGCTCCCTGAGAGACTCTCTCAGCGCAGAGATCTCAGCCCAGCCCTTCCCCGCTTGCTGGGACCCCAAACCCTGATCCCAGGCAGCATCTCCCCACACCTCATGGGGAGAAGGTGAGACCTGCCCCCCCAGGGAGCCCTGCTCCTAGGACAGCCTGTGTGCAGGGCAGGGGCTGCCCTAGGCTGCTCCCCACAGGGCTGGATGTGAGTCCCCAGCTGGGGTAGAGGGAAGCTGCTGCCAGCCCCCAGGGTTTGCAGGGAGCAGGATGTTTGGTGTGGGGCAGCGACATGTGGGGAGCCGAGGGTGTAGGAACCAGCAGGGAGCTGAAGGGGCAGGGGGCTCTGAGAGCCAGAGGGGGGTACAGGATGAGGGAAGAAGGGTGCAGGGGGCTCTGGCTCCCGGAGCAGCCATGCTGCACTGCAGGGCAGTCCCCAACCCCCAGCAGCAGCTGTGCCATGCCACAGACCCAGACCCAGCTCTGGCAACCTGGGGAAAGGCTGGAGCTAGGTCCAGGGCTGTGTGGTGGCTGCCCAACTGCTCCCAGGGTGGGGTTGCATGGTGGGTGGTTGCCCCATGTGCCCCGGCTTCATCTGGCAGCTGCCACGCAGCCTACTCTGGCTGCAACTTCAGCCCTGATGAAGGACTGAAGTGGGGGTCAGGGCCTGTGTGGTGGCTGTCCAGCTCCTCCTGGGGCAGGCCACGTGGTGGGCAGCTGGCCTGTGTTCTGGAGTGGGAGCTGACCCCAGAGCAACTGGACAGCCCCGTAGCCCTGCACTGGGAGCAGCTGAGCAACCACCATGTGGCTCTGGCTCCCCATTCTCTCACCACCACTAGTTTACCTTCCAGGAAGGTGAGTGCTGCTGTGTGGCTCTGCTGAGGAGGTGGATGGGATTAAAATTCTTTGTGCACGCCCATGCAGGTGCGCACCCTATGGTATGTATAGACTACATTCCTCTGTCGTCAGAGGCATGTAGATTAGGCTACCCGGCATAGGGAAATGAAGCCGCGATTTAAATAATTGTGGCTTCATTTAAATTAAAATTGCTGCCGCGCTCTGCCGGCCAGCTGATGATCAGCTGTTTGTCGGCAGATCGGGGCAGGCTAGACGCGCTGCTGTCGACAAGGAAGCCTTTGTCGACCGGCGCAGGTAAACCTGGTTTCACAAGGCATACCTGCGCCGGTCAACAAAGGCTTCCTTGTCGACAGCAGCGCGTCTAGCCTGCCCCGATCTGCCGACAAACAGCTGATCATCAGCTGGCCGGCAGAGCGCGGCAGCAATTTTAATTTAAATGAAGCCACAATTATTTAAATCGCGGCTTCATTTCCCTATGCCGGGTAGCCTAATCTACATGCCTCATCAGCTGGTCAGCAGAGCGCGGCAGCCATTTTAATTTACATGTAACCGTGATTATTTAAATGGCGGCTTCATTTCCCTATGCCGGGTAGCCTAATCTACATGCCTCTGACGACAGAGGCATGTAGTCTAGACATACCCCTAGAGAGAACTTAGGTTATGGGGAAAGGAGGAGCTCTGGGGAGCATTAGAGAGTCATAAGGCTCAACCGTTCCTTCTTTCCTTGTTAGAGGGCTACACAGAGGAAGGCCGTGAACAAGCATCACTATCGAAAGTTTGTCATGATCCAGGGCCAAACTGACACTGGTGCTGCAGGGTAGGTGAGGCAGTATCTTATTGGACCATCTTCTCTTGGTGACAGAGACAAGCTTTTGAGTTTCCACAGAGCTCTTCTTCAGGACCTGTGACCGGTAAGTTGGAATGCTTGTCTCTGTCACCAACAGAAGTGGGCCCAATAAACTTCAACCACATAGTGTTTCTAGTATCCTAGGACCTACATGGCTACAACAACATTACATACAAGAATGGAAGATACTGAATTTTGCTTTCTCATTCTACTGTTCACACTACTGGAACAGTCGTGGTCTGATGTGATATTTCCTCCCTCTTGCATAACCCTTGATTTGCTAGATTTAAATATAAGTTTCTCTTGGATACATAATCTAGGAAGGGGGATTTTGGCAGTGGGGGGTGGTGGGCATTTTAATGCACATTTCAGCAGCAAATGTGATATTATACTAAGATAGATGGAAAGGAAACTCAGCTCGTGTTTATTTTTATTCTAGTGGTATCTGAAACCAATGCATGCCAAAGACCAGGGTGTTTGTATGGGGAGATATGGAGAGACAAGATTTGTACTCAAATTAACATAATCATACATTATATTATACACAAAGATGACTTCAATGAGTACATGTTTTATCTCAAGAAAGCACTTGTATATTGACTTGGTTTGTGATGCATTGGAGCTCACAGTGTCATCTCTGAAACATGTCTTTTTTTCCTGTAGATCGTTCTATTGCTTCAGAAGTGGAGCTGATAGAAAATTACATTTATTTAAATGTTCCTATAGGAATTAATAGATGGGTACAATATGATTCACCTTTTGCCCATTTGAGCAATTACATTTGAAACAAGTTGCTGTTATCATGGTTGATGCCACAATAGTTTGCTGCTAGAGAAGAATAAATTTCATTTCATTCTGCAGCCCCCTTTATAAATGTTTAACTATTATGCATCCTCTATTAATTTACATTTCTTAACCTCAACACATAAGGCCAAAGCCATGCCTTAGTTTCCCCATAGATAGAATTGGGATGGTAATACCATACTCACTCATGCAAAGTGTCTTGAGATCCCTAGGGATATGTCTGCACTGTGGGCTAAAGTCGAATTAAGCTATCCAACTTCAGCTAATTTAATTGAGTAGTTGAAGTCGAAGTAGCTTAACTCAGCTTTTGGTGCTGTCTACACTGCAGGAAGTCAAAAAAAGAACACTCTTCCTTCGACTTTCCCTA